AGAGACCATTCTGGAGCATCTCCAACAGTTCTCATGAGAAGAAGGAATGGAAGGAACACTGACAGGCAGAAAGAGGAAGGGTGCTGGAAGGTGACAGGCTGCTGGCTTTGGAGACGGAAACTGCCATGGGAGGCATGCTGGGCCTAAAAGCAGCTACAAAAGCAAGAAAAAGATTTTTCAGTATGAAAAACAGTGTATGAGAACTTTGTAAATAAACCAGTACTATGTGCCGTTGAGTCACCTGTGACCCTCTGGACCACAGCCCTAAACTCTGCCCTAACCTGTGCCAATCGCACCATCTCTGATACACCCACCCCATTACCCAGTCACTGGCTCAATCCACCTCGAGGGCCTTCCTCTTCTCCTCTGGAGCTCCAGAGGAACGCGCCCCGCAGAGTTCTAGAATTCCGGGATTGTAGGGCAACAGCTGTGTCCCAGCCTGGCCTGGAACGATGGGCTCAGGCGTGGGAGACACCTTGACACTGGGCAGGCCTGCTGGGGTTGCAGACTGGCCAGATTTCGGACAGCACCTGACGGGCTGTTTTTAGGCATGTGTGTGCATGCGTGCCCCCCTCTGCTCAGAGGCCTGGTCATGTCAGAACCAGCATTCTGAGCAGGGGACCAGCCTGGTGAACGTCTGCCTTTAGAGACAGATGTGGGTTTGAATCCTGGCCCCATCACTTGCTGACTATCCCTGGCCTTTTCCCTGATGGACTATTCCCCGTGTTCTGTCCCATGAAGGGCTACATCCAAGCCCCACACCAGTACTGTCCATGCTCTGGGCTTGGAGGCCCGGATGTGCAGGCCCATCTGACATAGCTCGAGATGAGAAAACTCCCCGTAAGAACACATGAAACCCTGTGCCTCACCCCCTCCCGTACTGCTTCACGGTCACGTTCAGTGCCAGCCGAAGCCTCGGACTTCATTCTGTCAGGCCCCCGATTCCTCTGCAAATCGCTGCCACGTTTATGCTGGAGCACGCCAGCAGGCTTCGCAGACACAAGATACATGCTAAAAATAGAAGACTAGCTGAGGACGCCCGGCCGCCCACTTGGGAGAGGTGGAAGGAAGGGGCCAGGCGGTGAGAGGACTCGGGGTCCACGTCCCTGGGCAGGAGGTAGTGGCTGGTTCTGGGCCCCATCAGAGGATGCAGGGTGGTCCTCCTCCCATCCAAGCTTGGTGGAGAGCAGACCACACCCAGGCCTGCTTTCTGCGGCCTGTGCATTCTGACTTACGTAACCCCACCCCTGCCTGTGCAGAGTGGAACACGCTTGGGGTCTTCAGGGCTGTGGCCTTTCCGAAGCGAATTGCCAATGCACTCTGTGTGGGCTTGAACTGTCAACCTTCAGGTCAGCAGCTGGTAGAGAGCCACTTGCACCCCCAGGACCTGTGATCGCTGAACACACACTCTTTTTGTTAAAACTGAGCTGAGTGGTAGCTCACAGGGCACCTGCCTTTCCGTCCAATCATGTGGACAGATTTGGTTTCATGGCATTAGGTCAGCCACGTGGGACCCTCATCTGTCTGAGCCCCACAGGTGACACAAGGCCTGGTCTCACTGTCCCCTGCATCCTGTTCTCACCCTGACCTGGCTGGTGTTAACTCCATGTGGACGGCAAAGGGAGGCTGTGGAGCACCTGGCACCTGTGTGCCCACCTGTCTACCATGCACTCAGAACTTGGCACACAGGCACTCCTCTTAGGGCAGGGGTGAGGTAATGCATCCCAAGTAGGCCAAGGTCCGATGTGAGCCTATTGGTTCCCATGGAGAGGCTGGTGGGCAACGTTTACACCTCAGAGGAGCCAGCCCCCCAGCTGCCCTCTTCTCTCCACGTGCCTATTCCCCACTCCTGTCATCCAGTTTAATCTGACTGAGGCTGACCTGTGCTTGG